GCCCCTCTTCCAGCTGTAGTTGCCTCCCTCGCGAGGACACTTATCCCAGCTTCAGCCCAGGCCCTGGGCTGAGGCCACCTCCCAGGAAGCGTCAGGTCCCTTCCCGAGCTCCCTTACCTGCAGCACCATCTGCAATGTTTCCCCAAAGAACGGGAAGCCCATGGTCCCCGGGGGCAAAGGGAGGGCGCAGCTGCGGTCGCGGCTGCTCACACAGTACAGGTACCAGAGCTTGGTCGCTGCCAGGAAGAGCAGGAGCGGCAGCACGAAGGTGCAGAGAGCACTGGCCAGTAGCGCTGGGAGCCCCATGGCATGCAGCAGTCTCCACGCCACCTGCCGCCGCCGCCCTCGCTCCGAACCCCGCCGCGCACCCTCTTTATAGGCCGTCCAGGTTACTGCCCACGTTACCTTGGTCAGACAAATTAGTTCACCCAAAGTTCATCTTTAATTGCCGATCTGGCCCCTAGCTCCTCCCCCAGCGAGGCGCTGCCCAAAATCTTTAACCGTTTGTTCCGCGCCCGGGCAGAGGCGGCGCAGTGGCGGCTTCCCTCGGAGCGCGCCTCCTGGGGTGCGGGGCTAGGAACGCGGCCTCCCCTAACCCGGGGGTGCGGAGCTCCGAGTCAAGAGGGCGCGGTTGGGGGGGAGGGAGGGTTGTGGATTGGGGTTTCCAGGAGCGGGAATTTGGAATCCTGGGCTTCCTAGCTGTCTTTCGGTTGTCCCTCGCGCCGGGTCCCACGAGCTGCCCCAGCCCAAAGCCGCCTCCCAGGCTTTTCATTCACAGGCGCAGCACCGGCTTGGAAAGCGCGTTCAGAAATCTCCATTCAATGGACTTGACCCACAGATTGGATAAATGAAATCCCAAACGCTTCCTGATCTGTGAGGATCCCAAGAAGATCCAAGGGTTAGGGCCCAAGCCAAAGAGTCTCGGAGGTCAAGTATGAGTCAGTGCATTGAAGTCTCAGAAAGTCCTGCTTTAGGATTCAGTGCAAGTAAGCCTTCAGGTCTCTGGGACCCCAGGTGCAGCTTTGCACAAGCCCGATTCCCCTGCTCTGAAGACCAGTGGTGTACTGAAGAGACCAGTGGCTCCAAAGTCAACACCCAGCTGTGGTAGCACTGCCAAACTGGCCTAATTCCTAAGGCCCTGGGACTTGCAACCCCAGCCTGGCAGCCAGGAAGAGTGGCCCCAGGACAGGCAGATATAGGGAGGAAGACTTTAGAGTGAGAAAACTCAGGAGTCCTGTTCCACCTAGGATTGTCAGACTCTTGGGCGAGCTATCAGGCTTCCTCCTGACTGTGCCCCTTCCTCATAGAGTTTCCACTTTGTCTACACCTCAAGGCAGTTGTGAGTTCTCAAAGGGAGCTTCTGCTTCCAAATGGCTCCATATGCTGCATTAGTAGAATGGCAGGGCTTCGAGGCTCTAGAACCTTTCTCCAGTCTCCCAGATCCCACCCAATGCAAGGCCATAGACTCTTATATGAGGACTGTTTGTGCCACCAACCAATGGGGACATTAAGGGAACCCATACTGGGAAGCGAGTCCCAGAGATTGTGTCCAATTTCAGTCTGCAGCCCCTGGAGTCAATACAGAGAGATCAGGGGAACTATGTGATACACACATGCGCGCGCGCACGCGCGCGCGCGCGCGCACACACACACACACACACACACACGGGACTTCCCATGACCTCCCACCACATCGCTTCAGCCAGTGAGTGCCATACACTATCTTGGTTTGGGCACTGAACTCACCAGCAACGTGGAAAACAAATAGAATGACATGTGTTTGTTTAGAACAGAACATGGGGTCTACCTAGCAAAAGCATACCCACACCCCTTGGGAAGAGTCCGTTGAAGATGAAAAACTTGCATCCTGAAAAGCAATGTGGTCCCCAAACGACACCTGTCTCCCTCCCTCCCACTCACAAAATACCCACAAAGGTCGTGAAGACACGCACAAACCTAACAACTCTCTAAACCGGGATGCCCACGGGATTCAGTGGTTTCTCTAACTCTGTTCAGTGTTTCAGAGGTTCTGGGGAGGCGGGCGCTGCCGCTGTCATATCTTGTAATGAATTGGTTATTGTAAGGATTGCAAACCAGCTCCTGCACTGGCAGGAACGCGGACGGACTGTGCTGGAGGTAATTCTCAGAAATCTTGGCCCGCCCCTTTCTGGAGAGCGCCTCCGGCCGGTGTGCAAAATCGGCCAGCGGGGGCGTGACCTGGGGCCCATTCCCAATCCTTTAGCCTGACCCGCCTGTGACCCCTGCAGGCCGGACCGTGACATCCCAGTGAACTCTGCCGGGCCATCCTACCAAGTTCAGTGCACACATGCCCGCTGGGTCACAAGATGAGCCAGGCTAGCGCGCTGGAAATGGCCACCGGGAAAAAGAGTGTACTTAAAAAGTAAGTTTGATTTTACTGATTTCCAGAAAATACTGGACTCAATCTTGAGACTTAGAATTCTTTTCTATTCAGCAAAACATTCATTGTGTATAGAAGTTGTTCAACTAAAGTAATAAATGTCTGTTAAACAAGAAAAATAAAAATTTAAAAAATCGAACTGTTCATTAAGATCCACGGGGGGGCTTGGCAGCAAAACATTAAATTTTAGAATGCAATATGCTTTAAAAAAATTCTTGAAGGGGGAGAGGTGAATAAATTGCCAGCCCAATAAGAACTTTGATCTAGGAATATCACCAAACTTTTATTAGGTGGTGGAGGCTGGGGAAGGGAAGGTTAGCTCGCTGAGAAACAAAATGTTTGCCAAACAGTTCTCCTCCTGCAAAGGGTTCAGAGCTGTGTGGGGCCAGGTTTGTGGTGGTGGTTGTTTCTGCTGGTTTGTTTTTGCTAGAGTAAAAGGTGTCAGGAATCAGATGACCAGCACAAGCTCAAGGGCTTTGCCTTCAGCCCCCTTTGATTTCCCTCTGGTCTCAGGGGTCCACACCTGCTACTCTTCCCAATGCTGGCTGGAGGCCAAAGTGGACTGATCCCTGCCAATGTCACCTCAGATGGGTTCCCTTGCCCAATAGTCAGAATTTTGATTAACTGTGTTAAAGGCCTGTTTTGTTTTTGTTTGGGGTTTTTTGTTGTTAGTTTCTCTGATTTTCACCACTGGGTATTCTTGGGGTTTCGTTTGTTTTTGCTTTTGTTTTGCTGGTTTATTCATTGTCTGCCTCTTTCTGTGAACATCAGAAGTCCAAGAGGTAAGAACTACATCTGCTCTCTCCCTAAGAATTTCAGTTACTAAACCAGAGGGTTTTGTGCTCCTTGGTGATGTGATTGCAACAGTGGAAAATGAGAGGAAAATTTGAGCCACTTCCATGTGCTTAGAGCTGGTCCAGACCCCAAAGTAAGTTCACAAGTGTCTCTGAGCCGGTGTGTCCTAGCTCCTGAAAGGCACTTCCCCTATTTTTTTCTCCCCAAATCAGAAGCAACCTTAAAGCAGGGTCTTTTGGCCTCCACATCCAGATCCAGGTTCCTCAAATTCCCAAGGTGGTAGGCCTGCACCATAATACCTTTGCTCCCCCTGGTGCCCACAGAGCTTAGGGCCTGGCCTTTCCTCTGACCAGCTATAGGTGATTATCCTGTGTAGGGGTTTTGGTGGTATGAACCCCAGCAGCTTCTCACCTTCAAGTACCTACTAATGTCCCCTTTGCCTTCAGACCCCAGGACCCACTTTAAATGTGAGGTCGGGAGGCTACCAATTTCCTCCTGATTCACAACAGGGTCAGCCCAGACCAAGTTATAGCTTCCCCAGCTCGAATGTTATGTCCCCTTGCCCAGGAGTGTGGGAATGTAGGTGGCTTTGGGAATGATGGCAGAATGATTTAAACAGTGGTGGGAATCCCCGGATTGGAAAGGCCAGACCCTCCCTAAGACAGGGTAGGGATGGGTGTGTGTGTTGGGGGGCAATAGGTCTGAGTCCCACAGGTGGCATTGGCATGGGGATGAGAGGGGATGCAGGACCCACAGTGGCTCCTCAGGAGAGTTGCCTGTCTCTTTAATCCTGTTTCTCCTTGGTAATTGTGAGGATAGTGAATAAGCCAGCTTAACAGTTCTGCAAGCTGATGTTGCAGAGACTAACCGAAACCCAGCATCCAGATCCATGGTCCAGAGGGAAGCACTGGGCTGAGGCTGCCAAGCTTCCAGACCCTCTGGGTATAGGCTACAGTGGGTCCTTCAGGTGTGTCTCTGTATTCCACCCCTCTTCACCCTTGGCTGTCACACCAGGGGACAGCTGTGCAACCGAGCCCCAGCCTCCTTACTCAACCACTGGCAATTTCTTGGCCTTCCTCTTTTGGCACAAATATCGGAAATCTCTTATTTATCTCAATCTCCCTTGAAGAAATTTTGTCTCAACCTCGCAGACTTAGAGACATCTCCAGAGAACATATTCTCTTCTGTATAAATGAGGACATTAATAAAGTCTTGAAGTAGGAATTTCTGTTTTCAGAAGTCTCTAGCAGAACCAGTTGGAGCCCGGAAGCACCACCCACCATACTTGGGTACTTCATTTCTGACAAGGCTTAATAAGCCTGAGGGCAATTGCTGAGAGCCCTCTGGTGTACCTTTAGGCCAATGTCACGGACTCATCTCTGCTAACTTAAAAAAAAAAAAAGTTGCAAATTCTCCTCTGGTTTGATAGTACACCCAATCACCACCTCCACACCGCCAGGACCCCACATCCAAGTTCCTTGAGGGACTTGCCACAGAAAGGTTTAGCTAGTGCAGATAGATTCTTTCCACTGCTGACTCCTTCAGATCTTGTCAAATGCCTACGGTGTAGAGCGCACCTCCCGCCCTCGGTGCGCTCCTTCCCCAAGCCCAGCGCATCTCCTATGCGGGAGAGGGTGGCCGTGGCTCAGTCTAGCACAGTATCGTCCTGCGAGCATTTGTTAAACTCAGTGAACGTGCCTGCGATGAGGACCCAGGGCACTGAAGATGGACAGCACTGGGTGTGCGCAGCAGCCACGGGGCAAGCCAAGGCTAGAGGAACAGCGAGTCAGGGGTGTAACCCATCCCCCGCACCCAAAGTCAGGAGAGGATGAAAAAAGAGTAGCAGCCCGTCCACTGGGTGCAGGATGGGCACCGTCTGCATGACCGGGAAGGCAGGTGTAGCCAGTTCCCAGCGCGCCGTGCGCACCAGTTCCACGGCCAGCAGCTGCAGCACCGCCTGCGCTAGCTTCTGGCCCAGGCAGCTGCGCGCGCCGCCACCGAACGGGATGTAATGAAAGCGGCCACAGGAGCCCCGCGAGTCCTCACTCTCCACGCCAAAGCGCTCCGGGTCGAAGCCCTCAGGCGGGCTACGGTACACAGCAGCTGTCTCGTGGGTGTCTCGGATGCTATACATCACGCTCCAGCCTTTGGGAATCTGGTAACCCTGAGAAGTGAGGGGGCCGGTCTTGATCGCTAAGCACCGAGAAGTGGCCAGAGCCAATTCCCCATCCATCCCCCGCACCCAGACCTGCCAAATAAACCTGGGGGGGGCTGTGATTAACTAAGCCTGAAGCTAAAAGATCTGCTTTGCCATTTCAGTGTCTTCACTAATGAGCTAGCTGTAGGATCTTGAAATGCTTGAGCCCCTCCCACCCCCACCCCCCAGGTTGTTGAGAGAATTTCAAACGGAGATTGGCACACATTAGTGCCCATGAAGTTGAATGTTAGGGGTTTGTTGTCTTTCTCCTCCTGTTTCCTTCTGACAGGAGGCTTAGATTGTAAGACTGTAGCTGAAGGAGGGAACCCGTTCCTCCTCTGGAACAGTTCAATTTATAAAACTCTTGTTTGCATTTAGCTGAAAACTTCACCGCCTTCCCCCTCACCTCCACACAGAACAGGACCTTGCGGTTACACTTGAGGAGATGTATGCCCTCGCTGTCCACTCCTACCCTCCCAACCGTCCTGCCCTCTTTTTGTCCCCTGCTAGGTATTGCAAGCTTTGGGCCTCATTCACACTAGGAAAGTGTGCCTGCCACTGCCCTACATTCCCAGCCTCTTAGCTTTGTCTTGTGTCTTCGGATCTGACTACAAGGCCACCTGCCTCTCCAGAGATTGCAGTTTCCGAAGCCTGTGGAGGGTCATTACTATTCAGGTTCTCACTAGGGGAAAGGATGCATTGGAATCACACAAGGAATGCTCTCTCTTCCCTATTCCTCAGTGCCCCGTCTGTACAGTGAAGGAGGAGGAAGAGGAGGGGGGAGGAAGACCAGGAGGAAAAGGAAGAGGAGGACTGGGAAGAAGAGGATTATGACCTTCCCCATACTTCACCCTGGAAGCTAGCTGCCCGGTCCTCTGCTGCTCATCCTGGATTGCTGGGCACTGTGGCATGAAGTTTAAGCACCCAAGTCACTTGAGTACCGGCCTTTGACTGGCAGCTCCCCATCTGTGGTGCTCTCTCCTCATTCCAGCCCTTTGGCTGGTATCACCCCACACTAGAAATCTCCTTGCTTCATTCCATAGTCGTGGTCCCTCCCTCTCTGCATGGAGTCCCCCTTCTTCAATGGCCCCCCACCCCCAAGTACTGCAGCAAAGCCATTTAGGCCAAGACCCTCAAGTTCTGCAGTGTGGATTCCCCAATCCCCAGAGTTGCCAATTCATTAAACACCCCACAGCCTCCCGGGGAGTGTCAGAGCTGCAAAAAAGAACCAAACCAATGTCCTCCCAGAGGATAAACCAAGAACCACAGTAAAGGGAGAACTGCCTGCATCATTTGGAGATGCAGTCAGGCCCAGTTCTTAACTTTGTCCAGCCAAGGGCAGCTTAATGAAACCATTAAGATTTTGTTCTTTGTATTAAGGCTGTTGCATTTCCCAGGTACACAGCCTACGTGCCAGCCCTGGACAAGGTAACAATGACTGGCTCTTTAATGAAGGAACTAAAAAATAGCGCACCACCTTCCCTTTCCAGTTACACACACTTTTCTGCAAGGAGTGTGGCTCAGAGATAAAATGTTTGCGCTCTAAAACCTAGCGGGATCGCTGACAAAAGCTGAAGTATATACTTACGTACTTCATATAAGCATGTCTACTTATATAAACTATTATAAAATTTCTAACTGTGACCGCTCTTCGGGCACCAGGCTTTGCATCCCTCTATTGGGGTTGGAGGATCCGGGCGGGGAATAGAACAGGGCTCAGCCCATTTTACAGGAGGGAAAGCTGAGGCCCTGGCAAGGGTAAGAGATCTCTGTACTGATCTCCCTGACCTCCTCCCACCCCATTGCCGCTGCAAGCATCCAGAGGCCCCACAGCGTGGCGCACTTACGTCCAGCTCAAAGGTTCGCAGCACAGTGCGGTAGCCCCCAGACACAGGCGGTAGGAGGCGAAGCACCTCCTTGACTACGCAATCAACATAGCGCAGGCGGCCCAGTGCAGCCAGGCTAAGGTCGGGCTCACAGCTGCAGTCAGGTCTGGGCCCCGTGGCCAGGGGTGCGCAGCTGCACGCATGCCCCAGCCCCTGTGCTGACAGCTCCTGTTGGATCTTGGCGATTGCTGCCGGGTGCTGCAGAAGCAACAGTATGAGCGACGTGCTGGCACTGGCCGTAGTGAAGAAGGCCGCGAAGAGGAGCTCCACAGCGGACTCCTGCAATACAGCCGGGCGGTTATGAACGCACTGTGAAAAGCGATCAAACTTATCTCTTGTGCTCAGACCTTGATGTCCTGCCCTGGCGGCTATGCTCATGGCTCTGAAAACCGTCAAAACTCACACCAATCACTTAGGAAAGCCGAGTTGAACAATAGGCAGACCAGTATCTGCACTTGCCCGCTTTGAAGGAGCTCTCTGTGCCTTAATTTAATTGTGCTTTAAATATAATAACTCGTTAAATTCTCACCGTCAGCCCATGGGGAGCATTTACTGCTCTTATTTTATGAGGTTGGAAACCTTCTTGGTTGACCTTCTTGCTTACCTTTTCTGCCCTGCTTTGCTGAGGACAGAACCACCTGCCTAAATGCCCTTCCAGTGCCTCTCTTAGCAGTGCTTGCTTGCATGCTGCTTTCAGTGACCCGAAGGTGAGTGTGTACCACCCACGCACCCCAGACCCTGAAACAGAACGCACCCACTCTGCATCCCAGCACAGAAGCTGTCCTTGAACAGGTACATGAGAATCTTTGTGGAGTGCAATCTGACCTGGCTGGAGACCTACTTCTGGTCCTACCTTGGACAAAATGAAGCTGGGATGGAGACACCAGAGCCCAAACATCCTTCCTGCCCAGCTAGACCAGTGGGACCCTTCTATGGGGACTTGTTATTCCCAGGTTTTGTCAAAGTGCAAGCTACCCACTTCTGTCCCTGGTACTTTTCTTCGGAGGCCAGCATCGGGCACTCAGCTACCCAGGATTCAAAGTCCTGAACCATTTGAGGTGTTCAAGGGGCAAAGAGGAGAGACTGCTAGATCCAGAACCTGTAAGAACCCTTAGGTTTTGATGCTGCAGGGAGAATGGCTACAGTCCAAGCTGTCAGAGCTGGCAGATGTGACAGAGCCATGACTGGAACCCAGGGCCCTTCTTTTTCACCCTGAGGTGTCTGAGCCTCCAAATGGTGTTAAACAGGACATGACTGGGAATGGGTCTGGTATGGGGGGATTTCTGGGGAAGGAAAGTGGGGGGGAGGGAGGAGTGGTCTCCTATCACCTACCTTCAGCTCTTGCACAGAGAGCTCATGGCCCAGCTCCCTAGCGCTGTTAATGATCAGGTGCAGGGCATCACCTGGCTCTGCTGCCTGCTCCTCATGAAGCTTCTGAGCAATGGCCTCATCCAGGTGCCGATATAATTGGTCCCTGGCCCGGATGCCCTGATGTACAGGGAGAGAGGGTAAATGGGGTAGGGAGGCTCAAGGGTCAGGCTTGTCTACCTAGATGTTAGTCTCAGCTTAGCTACACACCTTAGCACGAGGTAAGCATGGCTCAAGAAATGGTTATAGATTTGTTCACTGTCTATAAACATTACTCTGTCTTGATAATCATCACCAGTCTCCTCTGGCAAGGCAGTTAATGTCACCCAGAGGACAGAACACAAAGCACTGAGAGGTCAAACGTTTGTTCCCTCACACACCATCCCTGGCACACAGGGCTCTTAGCTATTACCCTTTCCCTGTACTCAGGTAAGGCAGAGAGAATCCACGCTATGAAAAAGGGGCACCTGGGAAACTCCACTGAAGACATAAATTGTGTATTCTAAATGTTAGCTCCCATCAGGGGTTTGAGCAAAGGGGGTGGGGATAAGGATAACTCTCCAGAGTTCAGGAAGCAAGCCCAGCCAAAATATCCTGAAAGCCAACACATGAGTTTTGTAGCCAGAAGTATCTTGTTCAAATCTTGACTGTGTTCTTTGCTTGTCGCATGACTTCAAGGAGACCTGCTTGTCAATAAAATGAGAATAACACTTTGCAGGTTGCAGGGACTAAACCAGAAAATGTATGCAAGGTAACCAGAACACAACAAGATTCTTTTACAGATTATTAATTTTATTCAAGCGACTGAACGCTCTAGAGCTCAGGGAGAAGGCAGGACCTAACTTCCTACAGCCCTAGGGTCCCGCCCATCACTCAGGAAAAGCCTGGCTTTTCTAATCCGGAAACCTGCCGGCCCAGGTCAGAGGAACCAGTGGGCCAGAGGAACGGACACCCGATCCCCTAGACCAGATCCGGCCCGGAGCTCCCTAACGTTCCACAGCACCAACCTTCTAAAGGGTGCTGGAGATTCGGCGCCACTTTAAGAAAGGACCGAACCATTTGCCTGAATGCCTAACACTAAGACTCAAACTCAAAAAGACTACAAGGCGAGAGTGTGAATCAGGAGCACCTCATACACGACTAAACGACATGTGGCCTGTCCGTGTCACACGGAATCTGAAAAGATGCAGCCCGGGTCTCCAATAACCACCACACCACCCTACGCTGGGTCATGTCCTCCGTCTAGGGTACCCAGTCTGGTTTGGGAGACCTTCTGGAGCCAAGGACTAAGGTCTGGGGCAGCATTACCTTGCGCAGGCCGCTGAAAGGCACGTCCAGGGGCAGTGAGAAGAGGTTCTCCACTAGCTGCTCAAAGGTCTGAGCCAGCTCGGTGCATCGTGCTTCATCCAGCTGCAGACCCAGGAGGATGCGCGCGGCCATGCGGAAGGTGAGCGCTTTGGCCGCCCGGTAGACAGCTACCGGTCCTCGGTCAGCGCACCAGGAGCGCACCTCTCTCCGCAGCGCCCCCTGCAGCCGTGGCACAAATTGCTCCAGAGCCGGGCGACTGAACACGCGCGCCAGGACCTGTAGGGAGCGCAGATGAGCGAGCAGGGCAGGCTGGCCTCTTGTGCTCTGCGACTCCGCAACCCGAAAGCAAAGTCCAGTCCTTTCTTCCTCTTCTGATCCGCACAGGCCTAAACTTGTTGGCTTGGTTCCCTTCACTTTGATGTACGGAGTCCCTCTCATCCATCTAGGCTGCAAATGTTAGCTGCTCCACAAAGTCTCCCCTGAACCCACTTAAATCTGAAACCCCAAAGCTGCTAGCACCTGTCACAGAAGTTCTGGAATAAAGGATCTGTAGCCCTGCCCTGGCTTTACAATTCAAAACCCAGAAATTTAAGGAGACTTGCCTCGGGCCACCGGTTCCTTTAGCGGGGACCCTAGTCAAGTTCTGGGTATACCGAACACCAGGCTCACCGCAGGCACCCAGGCACCAGGGATCAATCTTAAGTTCCTTTGGTTTTTCCCCTCACCTTACGCCGTTGCCGATGGGGCTCGCCAACCGCGCCGAGGAGTGTGTGTGAACCTAGCAGAATGTGCGCGCTCTGAGGCCACTGGCTACGCACCAGGCGGTGCTCGCCCAGCAAGATGGTACGCACGTTCTCCGCGCCGCTCACGCGGATCACTGGCCTGCCCAGAAGGTGCGTCTTAAACACTGTCCCGTAGCGCTCGCGGCGGGAACTGTGGAAACGAGAGCCCTGCAAGCAAGGCGGAGCTTAAAGGGCCGCTGGGCCAGCAGGGCTGAAGATCTGTCCCAGACATCCCAACTGCCTACTCTTAACAACTCCCCTGTCTCAGGCTCTCACACATTACTTACAAACGGACCTTGGGAATGCAGATGGTAAAATGAGATAGGGGCTTAGACTGGGAATGTGAGTGCCTAAGAGTGTGTGGTTGAGATGTGGCTCCGCTTTTCAGTCTGTGCTTGCAAAATGGTGGGTACCACGTCCCCCAAATCCCTCCCTAGAACCCTAGTTTATACCCACGTTTTGTCAGAAGGGTTTAAAATGTGCTTAGAACCTTGGTGACAAGGCGTCTCTTAGAACAGAGTAGCGAGGATTTCAGAAATCCTGGGCAAGGGTCTGCTTAGGAAGTGGGAGATGCAGAAAAGGGGACATTGCTGATTGATAAAACTACTCACCTGAACCAACCAGTGCAGCGTTTCACCGAAGAATGGCCAGCCCATGGAGCCCTTGGGTAGGGGCAAGGCTGAGGCCCGATCCCGACTCAGCGTCCAGCGGAGGGTCCAGAGGTGTTGGGCCAGGGCAAGCAGCAGAACGGCACACAGGAGAGCAGTGCCCGCGGCCCCCAGCATGGACAAACAGCTCAACACCCAAGAAAACATGGCGAATCTGTGGGGGCTGGGGAGGGCTAGGCCACTGGGAGGGCAGAGAGCTCAAGAACCGTGCAGACCCGAAAAATTCAGGCAAGGTTTCTCTTCAAACAAGACTGTCAGTGAAAGGCAGCAGTGACACTGAGCATTTAGAGAATGCTCCTTCCTAAAAGCTGGAGGCCCAGGGCATTTTCCCCATTGCAGTTAAATAGTGCCAGCCCCTTCATGCTGGGCCGTTTGCCCCTACACTCTCGATCAGCGCTCCTGGTGTAGAAGCTGCGAGCAATCGAGGCTGAGAGAAACAACTCACCAGTGCTGCCAAACGCTGTTGGGATTCCTGGGGCTGCAGACCCCTGGCCACCACCTCTCCTCCACTTCGTTGACACTTCTCCACCTAGCCTTGACACGTTTATATAGATACTGCCTCCCTCCCTCTGGACTGTTCCTGGGTCAAACAAAGTGACGCGTCTATGCATATTCAAAGTGTCCCACTCAGACTAATGATTGGAAGCAATGGGCAGTAGCAGGCTCAACTGGAGATCCAAATAGGGAGTGGCATCTGGGCGGGGGCTGTGCCCCCACGCGCATCCTCGGGCGGGGCCTGCGGTTTTGCCCTGTAACTTCCGCGCTCTTGGTGAGAGCAAAAGCCCAGCCAGCCAGCGTGAGAAGCCGGCATGAAGTAGACACTGCTTGGCAGGGCCCTGCTCTTGACCCACCTGTCTCAGAACCATTAGCTCCATCTCTAGTCCCCATCCTCGAGCCTCAAAACCCCTTCTGTTCACCACATCAAGGGCCAAAAGGCTAGATTGGTCCCCTTTGCTTGGCTCTCTTTCAGGGAAAATGGGTTGTGATCCCACAGTTCCAGAAGCATAGCTGGGACCCAGTTGTCTGACCCTCTGCGGGCTCCAAGTTCTCCTCTCAGGCTCTGCAGGAACCTTCAGGAGTTGGTCATTCCACTGACCCTAAAACTCACAGGGGCGCCCAAAGACCTCCAGAAGCCATTATCCTGGGCACAGCTCTGGTCTCAGGACCAAACCAAATTCTCGCTTCTTTTTCATTACACCGCCCATCTCCGGAATCTGAGGGATCCTGCCCCCTCCCCCAGGACCAGCTTGTATCTTGAGCTTTGTGCACCATTCAGGCCTACCCACTGGCTAACAATACAATCTAGGTATGGGAGGGGTACAGAGGGGTGTCTTGTTTTTTGGAAAGAGTACAGAGGAGCCCAAAGGGTGTCTGCTCCCGAGGATGTGGAGGTTCCTCTTTCCAAATCCCCAGATGCCTGGGCCAAAGCCAGGAGTCTCAAGTACCCAGCCTGTGAGGGGCATCTTCAGAGAGCCCTGCTCACCACACCTAATGTATAGAATGCATTGTGCCTGAAGAATTATCGTATTTTTCTGTAAAAGTTTTAAAATGTTACACATTTTGAGTATTTTGTCAAGGGAATCAATACGTTTTGTTTTGTGTCATGCATGTTCTGATAATTAGGGAATAAGAGGCCTTTTCTGGAGATGACTGTTTAAAATGAGAAGCTCTGGATATCTGAAATAGCACCTTCAACAACTCTCAATCTTTTTAATGTTCAATACAAAATCCAGTCATGGAAGCATAGCTCTTCATACTTATTTTACAGAGTCAGGAGTCTACAGGCATAAATCCAGAAAACGCAAAGGGTATTTTCAGCATAATTTACAGTGGAGAGGAAACAAAGGTCAGGTTTACATTGCCATTTGTGTCACTGTGATTTATCCAGAGGAAAATGTACATTTGCTGTAGGTTCAGTTGATCTGCTTTGTTTCCACAGTCCACAGCACCAAGATCTACTATCTGATGCCCATTCACCTAAAACTGTGGTAAATTCATCATGTGGGAAGAACATACCTATACTAGGACAGACACACCTGATGTAAACAGCCCCTTTAACTGCCTTCTCTTTAACTTAAACCAAACTAAAACCTTAACTGGGATCAGCTACAAGAAACACTACATCTTTAGGAAATTCAAACCCTTTTCTTCATTTTCAGAGTGATTAAGCTATCCAAATAGAACAGACAATTTACATTCCTGGTGAGCTGTGTTGATTTCAGGAACTTTCAAGATTTGTATATTTCTTCTTCAGAATCAGCAGAACTAAAAATTTTAGGCACACGAGTCAAACTGAGGTGAAAATAAAAGCTCAAAGTCCAACAATGACAGCCAAATATTCCCTTCTCAGCAGCAGCTTCATCCCAAACTATCATGACACAAACAGGAGCTCTCTCAAGCTTAAAGAGAAGAAAGAATGCTTACAAGCTGAGACACGAGTTCTTCTAATATTTGCGATCAGTTTCATATACAATTTATTGGATTTATATATTACACTTTTGACTTTTCCTCTGAAGTTGAGAAAAATTAATCTTACATTTTATATATAAAATAGTATTCAATTATTTAAAAATCCATACAAATGATGTTTGTTACCATTACTTGTTTAAGCCCTCATCGATGTATTTCCTCTACTGTATTTTTTTACTTCTGTAAACAAATTATTGTCTCATGACCAGTGCGGGCCACAGAGAAGCACTCACAGGGACATCTACATGTGCTGGGACGTACCAGTCACCAAGCCTCTGAGCTGTTTCACGACTGTCTCTATCAGCTTCTGCCTATCTCGGTCGTTCTTCCGGAACTGGGCGAATATATTATTCTTCTTGCTGGTGTCCTTCATCCTACAAACACATATAAATGTAAATGCTGAGAAAGAAGAGCTGCTGCCAAGGGCTCCTCCTTCCGCCTTCCTTCCTCCCTCCTTCCTTCCTTCCTCCCTCCTCCCTTCCTCCCTCCTTCCCTCCTCCCTCCTTCCTTCCTTCCTCCCTCCTTCCTTCCTCCCTCCTTCCTTCCTCCCTCCTTCCTCCCTCCTTCCTTCCTTCCTCCCTCCTTCCTCCCTCCTTCCTTCCTTCCTCCCTCCTCCCTTCCTCCCTCCTTCCTCCTTCCTTCCTTCCTCCCTCCTTCCTCCCTCCTTCCCTCCTCCCTCCTTCCTTCCTCCTTCCTTCCTCCCTCCTTCCCTCCTCCCTCCTTCCTTCCTTCCTCCTTCCTTCCTCCCTCCTTCCTTCCTTCCTCCCTCCTTCCTCCCTCCCTCCTTTCCTCCTCCCTCCTTCCTTCTTCCTTCCTTCCTCCTTCCTTCCTCCCTCCTTCCTCCCTCCCTCCTTCCCTCCTCCCTCCTTCCTTCTTCCTTCCTTCCTCCTTCCTTCCTCCCTCCTTCCTTCCTCCCTCCTTCCCTCCTCCCTCCTTCCTTCTTCCTTCCTTCCTCCTTCCCTCCTCCCTCCTTCCTTCCTCCTTCCTTCCTCCCTCCTCCCTCCCTCCCTCCTCCCTCCTCCCTTCCTCCCTCCTTCCTTCCTCCCTTCCTCCTCCTCCCTCCTTCCTTCCTCCCTCCTTCCTTCCTCCCTCCTTCCTCCCTCCCTCCTCCCTCCTTCCTCCCTCCTTCCTCCCTCCCTCCCTCCTCCCTCCTTCCTCCCTCCTTCCTTCCTCCCTTCCTCCTCCTCCCTTCTTCCTTCCTCCCTCCCTCCCTTCCTCCTCCCTCTCTTCCTCTTCCTCCCTTCTTCCCTCTCTTCCTTTCTTCCCATACTCTGACTTAGCCAATACCAACCGTGTGCCTGAAATGAAAATTGGTGCTATCACATGTGCAGATACAGAAAGCACATGGAGACAGGGAGAAAGTGACCTTGCACTAGCACACAAATCTAAGACACACACATTGTTTCTGACATCGAGCCAGAAGGCATAGTAGAATACCCTAATAAGTGGGCTCTACTACACATTCACAGCAAGACCAAATGAAAGTGAAAGCAGCATTAGAAATTTTTTTGCCTCAGCAGTATTTCATGACATTTTAAAATCAACTTATATAATTTGAGAATAGTTTCTTACATCCTTTCAAATTGAATAACCACAGCTATATTTGAAATGTGGGGAAATAACATACAATACAACATGAAACTACATTTTAATAGTTATACCTTAAACAAACTATGATTGAGTGAAGAAAAAGTCTGCCATTTAATGAGGGGAAAGGAGTACTGTGTTTAGCTGGAGCAGCAGACCCGACTGTCTCACTTTTTACAAAATCTTTTTTCTCAAACCAAGTATTTCTCTACCTGCACAGAGTCCAAGACTGAGATACCGCTGAGGCAAACATCCCATTTCTTGGTTCTGTTCTATTTTGTTTTTAAGTGGCTCCAATTATTGTGTTTTCAAGTAAACCCTGTTCTCTCCACTGGGGGGGGGGGGGGATGGACTCAGGCCCTAGCACATCACAATCAACAACTGTGCTAAACATTCCAGGCTTCCAGGAACATAGTTATAAAGCAAACCGGGCCTGAGATTTTCAAGATACATTAGGAAAAAATAAGGTTTTCCTCACATATATAACAAGATAATTCTGGAAGGCAAGAAAGAGACTTATCTATGGTTCATCAAAATGGACGGAATCTCTCTCCTTCCTTCCCATCTCTGCTCCAGGTTTCACTCTCTGTAGCCTGAGCTCTCTCAAACCCACCATCCCCCTGCTTCAGGGCTGGCACATGCCACCACGCCTGGCTGCCCTGACTTTGAAAACTTCAGAGAAATTTCTAGTTCTTTATCACTGAACCGAACCTTGTGTAAATGCTACCTAAAATAAAAACCAAGACGATACTCACTTCTCCAAGAGAGTAAGGGCTGTGTGGGGGTTCACGCGGAGGTACTTGGAGGCTGGCTGTCCATAGTCAGCGAGGTAAGTGGACCAGTCCCACACCATAAACAAGTCAAGGAGCTGAGGAGAGAGAGAGAACACATCAGCTTTCCGACATCTACTCAGACATCAATCAAGAATACGCTACTCTTCACTCATTTTCACATGCGTTTCTTTTCATGAGAAAATAAGGAAATTCATTTAAAGAACATAACCAAAATCAAATTCATTATTATTATTATTATTATTATTGAATTGCTAAAACTGTCAGTGGCTGCTGTCCTAACAGTTTATGACACGCTCA